ATAAAAATTAAGTCACATTACTATGCTATAAGAATTACTTATATGGCATCAGTATTCTAACCAATAGTAAATTGCAAGTGAAGCAAATATTTACATTGTGGGGATTAGATTGTAGGCCTGATTCACAATTTCTGCCCAGTAAGACACTGAAATGGCATGCAATGATACTTTTGCCTATTTCCAAGCTTTTGACAAAATTTTTAATAAGTTCTAAGAGCCTACTTAAGATATACTAAAAGGAATATGAAAGCTTCAGTGACTTTATTTTTGTGATTTTGATTTCTATACAAGTTCATCTGCATAAGTACTACAGAGTTTTGTCGAAAAGTTTAACAAAAAACTTCATTAAAATTATAAAATGACAATACTTGTGATCGTGCGTATTTTGGGAAGAGTAAAGGACGATAAAAGAAAATAATTATTTCTGGTTACTAACTTGTATAGCTTTTGTGAACAGAGATTGTACCTTATTTATCTTTTATATCATCTCATTTTCTAACTAGTTCTACTTACCTTAGGGAGGAGAGACCAATGGAAGGTTTTAAGTCTTCTGTAGAAAAGAGATGAGGAGAATTATTGAATTCTACATCTGAAACTAGTGATATACTATATGTTGGCTAATTGAATTTAAATTAAAAAAAAGGGATGAGGAATTTTTTAATGTTTTATGTTTGGCTCCATATATGCTCTTTATTCTCAAAATATTACCTGCCTCCCTCTTTATGCAGGGTGTCAGGTAATTTGGAGACCAATCCTCATGATCAAACAGAAATTTTAACCATCTTAAGGTAGACACATAAAATGTAACTTACTGGTGCATTCCATTTGCTTTTAGTTTCAGGCTTTTTTTGTTAATAGAGAAAAATTGCTGTGTTTGTGTTTGTTGAGCATTTGTGTAGTTGCCTATAAAATGAGTTTTAAATGTACAGTTACAGGTCCAGGTGTGCAAAAGTGGAAATTTATTTTCTTATAATTAAGCTTAGTTTAACTCTCTGAGCTCATAAACCGTGGATAGCTAATCTTACCCTTGCCAATTTAAGAAACTTAACCTCTTTGGGCTTATAACTCAATCTCTTTAGAAAAAAATTCTTTAGAAAAAAAGATCCTTTTCTCTCTTTTTACTCTTTTCCTTAGAATTTTGTTTTAGGTCTGCAAATATCGGGGGAGGAAACTTATTCCCCACTCAAGAGATTATAACATAAACCTTCTACTTCTTCAGGCTTTGTCATTGATATATTCAAAGCCCAGCTTTGGGGATGAAACGAAAACAGATTTTTACCTCTCAACAAAGTCTGTTTTTGGCAAATAAAATGTGCTTTCACTTCCAGTATTTTCTTTGGGCTATAGATTTTTAAATTCTGCTTTGGAAGTCAAAAGCCAATAAATGAAGTTCTCTCTGAAGGTTTTATTTGTTTTCTACTTTGTCTAAGGCAAAGTCTAGAGAACATGTGACAAACTGAAGAATTAAGAAAAAATCATAGAAAAAATTTAAATGCATTTCAAAATCTTATTATGTGTTGCTTGCTGCAGTGACTAAAGATGGAGTTATTCAGAGAAGTTTGCAACAGATGAATTATCTTTTCGTCTAAGATATGTTCCTGTATTGTTTTGTTTCTTACGGTTTCCCAACATAATAGAAACCCTTTGCATCTCAGGATAGCTATAAAATGATTGATAGAAATTGCTACTACTTCAACAATTCTCTGCTCTAAAAATAATGCACTTCAGCATTTCCCACAATATCAGGACATTCCACTCCTCACCCCAAATCAAATGTTAAACTGGCATTCTGAAATGAACAGAAATACTCAATAAATTCAACAAAAATGCAGTATTCTGAATGTACTTTTTCTACAATAACGTTTTCTTTCTCTTAAACCTCATTTCAAAAATGATGCAATCTTTGAGTCCAAGTGCATCTATAGTTAAAAATAATAAATAAAATAAAATAAAATAAAATAAAATAAAATAAAATAAAATAAAATAGAGGTAGAGTTCCTAGTGAGCTCTGCTAGGTCAGACAAATAAACCTATTTCATTACCAAAAACTTCAGAGATACATCAGGAGGAAGTTTTACACAAAGTATTTGGTGTTTAATTTCTTTCTGAGGGGTTTAACGTTATATAGCTAGCCATAAAAACTTTAGCTAACCTGAAGGCCTTTCTCACTATTAAATTCACCTGAAATAGGAATAGCAAAGAAATAATTGTTTTTATGAAATCAGTTTAATATTTAGTTATTGTGCATCTGTGGGAGGTGCCCAGCATTCTTATTTTCTTTTTCTGGCACTCTATGTTTAGAATTTCATGCAAATAATTTCTGGCATCTTGTGAGACATTCAGGGTAATGGGAAAGTGTCACAATAATGGAAATTTTGCAAACCTTTCCTAATGCTTTTGTGCTATATTTAATCTTAGTAATTCAAAATATAATTTAGTCATCATCTCTAATATTTTCAATAAAACCACTTTAGATAAAGTTTGGTTACATATTTCTAGCCACTTATTTCACTTATTTTTTACATATTGTATATATTCATGTAGGACTTTTATTTCCATATCTGACCTCCCCTCTATAATTCTTCAATGACATTAATACCCTGGCTTCTGATTATGGGGCTCAATCTAAATCAATAACCACACAAACTTTAGTAAGGCCAGCAAAAAAGAACCAGAAAAACCCTTGCTATATTTTTAATCCCTACTTTAAATAATAAAATGAATTGGGGACTGTCTATATCATCGTTCAACAGAAGAGATGAACATTCAAATAATTTTTAGTGAATATTCTTTGTACATATTTTTTTCTTGTGCAAAATTTACTAGAAAAAAATAGTTTGTGGCAGCTATGATTTTGTCCTTAATTAAACAGAAATTGCAGTCTATTAGATAATTAATCTTCCAAGAATAAACACTGCTTTTCTCTAAACATTTTTTTTCACTTCTATAGGACTGAACAAAACAGCTCTGCAATCTAAAATTAACCACCTATACAGATTAAACACTTATTATATATGTATGTGTGTGTGTAAATAAGTAGTATTAGTTTTTTTTTTAAAAAACTTACAATATACTTGAAAAGTAATAGCCTCTTACTATGTCATTAAAATTCACATTTATGGACTTTATGATTACATACTTTCCACATTTAAACTTGTACTTTCAGTTCTAGGGAAATTTGATGATGATGAAATACATGCACTTTCTATTGAGATGGGACCATGCTTGGATTTATTGTAGGCCTTTTGGCACGTTCATAACTGAATGCTACAAATTAGGTTAAAACTTTAGTGAATTTATAATGAAGGCTTTCAGTGTTTAATCCTTTTCATGCAAATGACCTGATGGTCCTTGAGATGGGTTAAACTGACTAAGTGCACAGATTGTGTCTATTGCATTTATAACCCATGATTTAGGATTCAGACAAAACAATTTACTGGTCTCAGGTATGTTAAAAGAGGATTTCATTCATTTCGCAAACATTTCTGTAGGTCTAACAGGTGCCATGTATTGTGCCAGGGACTAGATATGACACCTCAAACAATAAAATAAAATTCTTACACAAATATATTTCACAGTCTACTAGACAGGCAGTTCGATTAGTACATCATTAAAACATGGGAAGAAGCTGTAATGAAAACATATAAGCCATTTAATGGGAATCCAAAACTATATGGGACCAAATTTATCTTGTACTAGGTCAGCATGAATTTCCTGAGGAAGGAATATTTGACTTAGTGTTGTAAAACAATAGTAGGAGTTAACCAAGCAGACCAAAGGAGATTGGCAGGTCTAATACTGTGATCTATAGTAAGAAATACGTATTTGATGTTTGTCCCATTTATGGTACAGAACTCATAACTTTTGGAATTTCCCAAATGATGAGAGTGATAAAAAGTGTCTTTTGTTTTGTTAATGAGGTAACCTTTGTAACCTACCCACCTCCCCTTAGGGGTGGTTGCCAGAGTAATGGACCACATGATTAGAAGATTGGAACTTTGAGTCCCATCCCCTGGCCTCTGGAGAGGGAGAACTGGAGGGTGAATCAATTGCCAAAGGCCAGTGGTTTAATAAATCATGCCTATGTCATGAAGCCTCCCTAAAAGCCCAAAAGGACAGGGTTTTGGAGAGCTGCCAGGTTAGGAATATTTGAAGATGTGTGGACGATAGCACATCTGGAGAAGGCCTTTAAGCTCCTCACCCTTCCCACATATTTTGCTTTATGCATACTTTCATCTGGCTGTTCTGAGTTATAAAAGTTAAATATAGTAAGTAAAATGTTTTTCTGAGTTCTGAGAGCTGCTCTAGCAAATTAATCAAACCCAAGGAGGAGGTCATGGGAGTTGATTTATAGCCAGTGGGATCAGAAGGACAAGTAATAACCTAGGCCTGCAACTGGCTCTGAAGTCGGGGCGGGAGGCAGTCTTATAGGACTGAACCCTTAACCTGTGGGATCTGATGCAAGCTTTGGGTAGATAGTATTGGAATTGAATTGTAGAACATTCATTTGGTGTCCAGAGAATTGCCTATTGGTATGGGAATGCCTCTACTATAACTTAAATTCTATTATACACCAATGAACATTAGTTGAGTGGAACTCTATAGCTTTATTTTTCTACGTGTTTAGAATAGCTGATATTGTTTAAATGTTTTATAATCTGCAGAGTGTTGTTTTTAATCAGAATTAAGGATTCCACCATTGTATACTTTATTTTTATTTTGATCTAGAGATTTTCTTCAATTTGCACCTATATATCACCCAAATCTAAAATCAAGTCAGTTGGAACTAAAATCTAAAATAATATGTAATCTATAAAAACACAGATAAAAATATGGTTCTATATTTCACAAGTTTTGTTGTTAAAGAGATATAAGAAAAATCATTTCTTTTTTTTTCTTTCTTGTCAGTGTGTCCTTTATTCCCAATGAGTATTACATCTGAAGTCAGAAGTTATCATGAATTATAATATGCTACACTAATATGATCTGTTTACTTACAGAGAGCCATATCCTAGAAGATGTCAACAAATGTATCATAGCATTGAGAGACCAGGATGCTGATAATTTAGACCGTGCTGCAGGTGCTATCAGAGGACGAGCGGCAAGAGTTGCTCACATTGTCACAGGCGAAATGGACAGTTATGAGCCAGGAGCTTACACTGAAGGTGTGATGAGAAATGTTAACTTCCTTACAAGTACTGGTAAGTCTCGGTCCCCAATAACAGCTGCATTGTTCCTGATTTTTGAATCTCTGTAGCTACCAAATATTCATACACATGGCAAGAATCTCTGCCTGTGTCACTTGATTTGAAATAGATTGTTCTCTCATCTGATAGATCCTTGCATCTTGTGGTTAGATGATTCAAAGTTTATTTCTAGAACTGAATATTTTCATTGGGAAAAATAAGTCTTTTATAAATTTATGTGTCATATAAATTACCGATAAGCCTTAGCCACATAGGAATGTTTATTAATGCCAGAATGGTTAGATATACAATTGGGCCAGATGTGATAAGTATGTAATAGTTTCCAAATCCTCTTTTAGCTGTATTCATTGATAACCCCAGGTTTTTGTTGACATTACTTAAACAGAAAACTTATCCTACATTTCTAGAGAAAGGTTCTGTGCTGTCTTTCAGTCTTTCACAAAACAGCCATTTTGTTCTTTTACATAATCTTCCTTGATTACTTAGGATATATGGCATCAGGATTTTGTCTTGGTTGCAGCATCCAACCAATATTATTATTATTATTATTATTATTATTATTATTATTAATATTTTCTAAATCAGCCAGTAAATGCTTACTTTGAATCACTCAGTGAAAATGTCATCATCTTTAACACTATTAACATTTCTCCTTATAGAAACTTATAGAATCATTTAAATTCTTAGGATTTAGAAAAAATGGATATAATTGAATGAGGGCAATCAGCTATTATTAGAAGTCATCATGGCAGAACTTTTTCCCATGAAAACCCTTTGTGCTCTGTGAATTCCTCAGGTTGAATTTTTCTTACTAATAACTTCTTACCCATGATCACTAAAATATTTGAAATTCCATACTTAAGCCATCAGTCCTAAATAGAGAATTTTTCTTTAGGTTATGCATAGGGCAAATCAAATTTGGACAATATATAAGTTGTTTAGGGAAAGTGGTGGAAGGAATGTGGATGGGTGATTTTATGGAGGGCAGGAGAGGACCTCCTCTTAAAATTAAATGACTAAGAGTAACACAGCAATAGTTGAATAAACAAATCTTCCCTAGGAACTAGGTCTGAAGAGGTATACCACAAGATAAGCTTAGCAAGGTTTGTAGAGAACTGATGATTAATGTTGCTGTTTTCCTAATATTTTGGCATAGAAAATCATTGATGAATCTTGGCACATAATTTTCTCATGATCTCTTTTAAAATATTGCTAAAATAGTGAAATGTTGAAGATAGGCTAAGGAAAGGTGAAGGAGGTACATCTGCAGCTCTTGATATTATGTTTCTATAACAACTCAAAGACACTGATGTTACAAATAGGGCACATGGTAGTTGTCAGATGGCACGTACCACATACCACATAATGAAATATCGTAATATATTTACTTGCTTATGGAGATGATTGTGTTCTGCATCTCTTCCACTCTAAATTTTACGGGTCTTTCCTTGTTGGTCAAATCAAGGACAGAGGTATCTGATTTCTTTTCTACTTTCTGAGAATGGATTTGTAAGTGAAAGAAGAATGCAGCAAGGGTTCTCCTTTTAGCCAGTTGAAAATTTACTGCAGGGAATTGAAGGTCTAATCTACCAGGATTTTACTTGTATGTTGCCTCTGTCTCAGTTTTGTAATCGTATTAGTAATGTCTTATGAACACACTGGATTTTATATCTGCTATAAGCAAAGAAGTGGAAGTGAAGTTCTAAACTGTCCAGGATGTAAAGTGTGTTATAGGAACCCTGTTCACAATCAATTCTTATAATCCAGAATAAGAAAATAAAAATAAAGCAAAGTTATTTACACATTTAATTTATAAGTTTGTTAATACCTCTATGACTTATAATGATCTTACACAATAACTAACCAGTATGGCTACAAATTCATTCATTCAGAAGATAGAGAACTCCTTTTTCCTCTAATTAGTTGTGTGTAACTTTAATTAAAATTCTCTAAGTAAATTATGTTCTGTGCCTCAAATATAATAAATACAGAATAATTCTGGGTTGTTCTGTAAGTTCCATTATTAATGTAACTGTAATTTATGACTTTCCAATTTTGTCATTTTAGTTTTTCAGATAATATTTTCATTTATCTTTGGGGAGGGAGTCTCATTTTTCTTTTATATGTCTAATTCTAAAATTTTCTCCAGTTTTTCTTGAAATTTATCAAAAGTATACTTCACTAAAGGGAATTCTGGGCAATAAATTAGATGAAAATGCTAATTAGATCAATTTGATCTTAACTAAAGTTGAAATATGTGAGCATTTTCCCTCCCATAGAGATATTATCTGAGAAAAAGACTTCCAACTATTCTATCCTTCATAATTAAATAACAGAAGATGTTCATCTGTGTTCATATCTGCTCATAACTTGGACTTATTATTTATAAATAATCCTCAAATTAAGTAATTGGAAATGCCATGTTTTGTGTCATGAAACCTTAATCATTCACATTTTAGCAAGTGAATGGTCTGTGTGGCCTGTTTTTCTTTTCTCCTATACAGTTCTCAGGTCTTGACCCTGCTTCCTGAAAATAACTTAATAAGGAGCTATTGTGAATTGTTTTTATTACTGAGACTTCCTTAACACTGCAAAATTTGCCTTAAAGTACTGTAATCAATGATGAAACCTAAGCCATACTTATCTAAATCCCAGAGTGTTTTTGGAACATTGCACCTTTGATTTTAATCAGACTTTGTGGCTCATTAGCACATTTTCAAGATTTGATGATCTTCTAAGTATTTTCTCAGCATTAGGAAGCAGAGCTGCCCTGTTACATTTTGGGAATTTACATTGTTCATAAACTGTACCAGTTGGTTTTAAGTGAAATGTAGGCAACATCTGGAATGCTGCATTTCATTCAATGGAAGCATGATTTTATCATCTCCATATGATATTCTTTGTTCTGCCCAATTTTCCCCTGTTATGAAGCATCTTCATCTGTCAGAAATTCCTGATAGGGGAGAGAAAAAATATTAGTACTTTTCTGTATATAACCTCAATTTTAGTGTGAAGGCTTAGAAGTTATATTGTTAACACCATCTTTATTCTTTCACACTAGATTAGGGAGAAACCTAAACAAAGAGGAAACTGATAACTGTACTTTTTGTGTGTGATTTATGGACTCTTTCCAAATTCAGAAATTAGAAGGCCCCCAAACATCTGTTGCAAACCACCAAACTCCTCCTGGTTTCAATGTCAGCCAGCCTCATGGACCAAAGCAGAATAGGCACATAAATGAACCTGACCGAGACACCCTGGTGGCATCCACTGCTGGCAACTTGCAGTGAGGCAAGTAAAAGGTCATTCATCAAGTACTCCATCAGGCCCAAATTGGAAAATGTGAACTTAAAATCCTCTCCCTAATAGAATGGAGAAGAGCTATATGGTTGTAATTTTTCTTCTTAAAGACACATGAGATAGTTGAAAAAAATTTTGAGACAACAGATATTTCCAAAAACTTCCTGTAATTTTTTTTTTGCAGTCAGTTTAAACAACAGCGTCTCTGATCTATAGCCTTAAATAATTACAGGATAAAATACAAAGATTTTAGTTTTACAGTTTTTCCCTCCACAATCCAGCAGAGGTTGAAAATTAGTGATCCATATACTAGATATGACTCAGTATGACTCAAAAGACTTTTTACATGTCCAGTAGAGTTCTGACCAACATAACTTTGTTTTGTATTTAGGAAATACATATATCCTAGATTAATGGCTTATTCTGATAAATGGGAAAGTCTGGCAACACTAGAGCAGAGTTTGGCTGGAGCTTAGTGGTGTCTTCCTTTTCTTTGAGCCTGGGCCATAGTCTCCTACACTCCCTTTCATTATATACTGCTTCACTCAATTTATCTGTCTGAACTTGGTAGGCATTTGAGTTCACCTAAACATGCATGTGTGTGTGTGTGTGTGTTTTCCTATTGTGGGCCAAAGGCACTTTCTACTCATCTAAGTTGATAGTTTCATATTTTATTTTCACATTTTATTCTTCTTTTAAGAAATAGTTCATATCCTTGTCCTCTAGAAACTTTTCTTTTCTCCATCTGGCAATTGTGAATTCTTTATGACTTCATGTACTATAGATTTTAAAGGGCTTGCCATTCATTAGCATCATTCCCAACAACTATATGCTGTTGATGATCTCTTCAGATATACTTACATAGAAATTATTCTTCCTTCAAAATAGAATGTAAGCTATAGAAGAAAACGAAACTTTAAAAAATTATTTATTCACGAGAGACACACACACAGAGAGGCAGAGAGATAGGCAGAAGGAGAAGCAGGCTCCCTGCGGGGAGCCAGATGTGGAACTTGATCCCAGGATCCCGGGATCACGACCTGAGCCAAAGGCAGACACTCAACCACTGAGCCACCCAGGAGTCCTGAAAAGGAAACTTGTATGCTTTGGATTTCTTTATTTCTCTTTGCATCTCTCCCAGACCTACCACCGTGTCTTGCATGTGTTAGATTAAAAATAAAACAAAACAGCAAAACAACTCTTGAATTGTCTATATGCCTGTACTAATTCCATTCCAAAAGTGAAAAGTCTCTTCTTCTCTACTGCCCCTCTAACATTGTAATTATTGTCTGACCCTTTCTCAAATGCTGCCAGTTTTGCATCGGAGCTTCTGATTCCCCTTCAGTAGAAATAATTGCTCTCATTATCTGTGTTACCATGGATGAGCTTGTCCTCTAGTTAGTGCTTATTTCACTTTGCCTTGTATCATAATCAGTCATTTACATACAAGTTTCTTCAAGTAGATTGTAACATTTTTAAAGGCAGACATCATACTTTATTATTTTTATATTTCCCAGTTGCATTTTACACGTTGTAGAGGTGCTCAAGTCCTTTAACCAACTTAAAATTTAAAATTCACTACAATAGTATACTATGATACATTCTAATACAGTTAAGCAAGTGAACAAGTTATCATCCCAGTTCAGGAAAAGACAAAAAGCAAAACTCAAAAACATAGTAGACTATGTCAAAGG